GTCTAAACCCTGATGAATGTCAATTTGAATTTTCTGCGAGACACATCACTTATTTTCAAAGCCACATGTTCCTTGCTAACAAGTAGGAGAACCGTGAGTGTCGAAAGTCTTCTGGCTGTTGAGATTATTCGGTTCTTCGGGTACTTACCCTAGATCGGCTGTTTATAATATGGTGGCTAAATATATGTAGGTCGATTGGCTTCTAAATATCTAAAGATTCATATGAGACTGAGATTCATTCAAAGGAACGTGTTACGCAGGCTTGAACAGTCGTAGAAATAGCTCAGGTGTTAATTTCCGAGAACCCATGGCAATCTTTGAGGAAAATGGCACCCGAGTTGGATATTAACGAACGAACAATATGTTACATAGCAGAGGAGGACCTACGATATAAATCGTTTGTAATAAAAATACGACATGAGCCGTTTAGTCTACAACTGGTTGTTGGACGCCGTGGATATGCTTTCATCCAAGGAGTTTTAGTTCCTCGATAACTGAAGCGTAGTTAAAGAGATTACTGACAAGTAGAAATACCCTAGTGCAGAATCCCTAGGCACCTCTATTGAGGGACTAGTTGCAAATATCGATATCACTGTTTTACTGAGAACGTGTAAACGCCTTAAACATCAGATACAGGTGATGTTTGCGACTTGTGTAATTATACTTGAGAGAGATCAGGCAACCAACATACGAAAGTATTTTTTGAAATTTAAATTGTTTGACTAGCAAAATTTAATTTGACTAATAACATTTCGAGGCTTATATTACCAGAACGGAATTTGGCAAATCAACGACCTGCAGTTCGTTAATTAATAGTAACATTCTCGGATCTCTTATTTATATTTCGAGCTGTTTTAGCGCCATTATGATCAGCTTGAACTCGTACAGAATAATTTCGTTATTTTTTTTTTAATCCCCTCGACCATTAGATATACTACGGGAAAATTCGTTTACAAAGAAACGGATAGCGTTTTACAAAGAACAGACTTCACTACTTAAATCGATATATTAGCCAGTACAATGATATAACAGAACGAAGATAATTTCTAGAGATCAAAAGATCGAACGTTTTGTATGCTACAACTTCATATAACAACAACCTAATGAATATCACGTATGTAGCACGCGTCAGTATCAGTATTTATTTTAAGTGTTTCGACTATACAGCCATGACGCTTTCTTCTTAAATTATACGTTTATCATAGTATATTATGTATTCCTCTCAGTCTTCTTCTTTTCGTTGCTTCATAGTTTTAATACCGTTTACAGTATCTCTTACAATCATTTGTATATCTGTTGGGGTCCACTGGGAGCCCTTACAGTTCGAGTACCTCAGGATCTCTAAACCCGTACTGTAGCTGCGCATGTTCATGCTTCAGCCCCTGGGGGCGTAGCACCCTTTGAGTATACAGGGTGCCGCAAAAATGTTTGAGGTCCTTGAAAGGGGTGGTTCGGGAGGTAATTTGAAACAACTTTTTCCTTAGCGAAAAGGTTGTCCGATGCTTCGTTAGGAAGATATTAACGGAAAACCCCCACCAATTAGAGCGCGCGTATACCGTTGGAACCCTCTGATTGGTCGGGGTTTTCTGTCAATATCTCCTCAACGAAGCCTCGGACAACATTTTCGATAAGGAAAAAGTTGTTTCCAATTACCTCCTGAACCACCCCTTTCAAGGTGTTACAATATTTTTGGGACACCCTGTATAGACATGGAGGAGGATTGCCAGCACCGAAAGTGTGTCCAAAGTCTGTGTGAGAGAGAAAGGTATAGAATGATATTTGTCTTGTCTGTGTGAGAGAGAAAGGTATAGAATGATATTTGTCTTGTCTGTGTGAGAGAGAAAGGTATAGAATGATATTTGTCCTCTCTCTGCATGCGTCAAATACATTATGAATGCCATGCTATAGGTTACATTGGCGGGCTGTGTTCCGTAAAGAGTATATGCACTCATTATCCACACTAAATGTAACGTTTATTGTAGAAAAATATGTGGATATTATCTTTACGGAATCCAACTACTGTTTATTTCAGCTAAAATCAATGACAGATGCCAAGGAATTATAAGTTACATTATATTAGAATATAAATATACTTGTATATACATAAAGCATATTATTGGTTTTTTTTATGCAGTATACAGATTTAGAGAATTTCGTATATTGAGTATACATTTCTATTAAAATGATCTATTACAACAATTCATAAAACTGAAATGCAGGGTTTCTATAGATATATACAAAGAGTGCAGGTCAGTGCAGGTACAATGTTGACGCATCCTCTATACCTTTCTCTCTCGCATAGACTTTGGACACACTTTCGGTCTATACAGAACAAAGCAATTCCTCCTCCATTTCTATATACTCAAAGGTAGCACCCTGTAGTTATTGAGATAACTATAGCTCTTTCTCATCACGTAATCAAGCTACGCACATCTTCTCTACTATCTTTATTCATATTCTGGATCTAGTCATCCGAATCCTCTTATCACCCAACGTCAGAGACACTACAGCTCTCGCACGTAGATTGAAAAGATACTACCCTCTAGAACTTTACAATAGATTTAATTAACTAAATACAGCCTCGCATATTATAACCACACTAAATAGTAAGTTCAAGAATGTAAGTAACTAAAACTTACAAACCATGCCACTGTAACACGCTAATCTAATTGCTTATAATTCTCTATGAGAATTGATTATAATTGCTTAATTAAATAAAAAGGAAAAAGAAAAATGTTCTGGATTTTCTGTTAGCTCTGTGCACTCGAAGTACTCCTCTGTCTTATCTTTGTTCAAAAACAAATACGAGAGCAAAAAGTTGACAAATCTGCAATAGTTTGAGAGATTTCTTTATGAATCGTGCCCGTCACCCTGTTTTCCCAAAATCTACGAATTCACCTGGTCGATTCGTCGACCCGAAATCGCTGGACGGCGTCGAAAAGTAGCAATCGAGTGGAGGAACGCGATCAGGGAATTCAGGGTGCCGCGAACCAGGAGGATTTCGTGGTAACCATGAACGGTGTAAATCAAACGAAGGCTGCACTTGACTAGAAACATCGAGTAGCGGGAGGGTCGTTCTATATATAGAAGCCACTGAGTCATTTGACGTTGCTCAGAGTGTATACGGAGCACTGTCAACAGTGTCTCTCAACCACCTTGGGCGACACTTGGACGGTCCAGAACAACGGGTAGTTTCGATAAAGACGGTCGCATAGATCATGTTCATTTATGTACAGTGGGCGTAGAATGTATTCGTACACCGATCAATGTTTCAAAAAACTTTTGTGTGAAATTGTAGTTTCTTAACTTCTATTTTTATAATCAATGATATTTTACATATTTTCAGAAATCTCTAAGATAGATATAGTCCAAACAACATTTACTAGTTAATATAATTTGAGAAATCAACAAAAAAAATGCGAAAAGTGGGTAAAAGCATAGAAGCAATAAGTATTTGTACGATTTTTATGACGAACCATTTACAGTAGAGCTTGTAACGTAAACACATTAGTTTATTGCTCCATGCGAATTAGAAAACATCAAATTTCCAGGAAAGTACTTTTAAAAATGGCCTAATAGAGGAATTGAATAAGATCCCACTTCGAATACCTAATAATTTAGTTAATTTAATTCTTAGAAAACTTACAATAATTATGAAATCAAAAGGAAATCCCACGAAGAAAGTATCGTATACTTATAAATAATTGTAAATTTCTTTCTTTTTTAATCAAGTTTTAAAAATTAAACAGTTGTGCGAATACTTCTTGCTTCAACATTTCTATCAATTATTTCTTTCTTGTTAATTTCGCAACTTACATAAATAGCTAATCTTTTTGTAATCTATCTATTCCAGAGATTTCCGAGAATATATAGAATGTCATTGTTTATCAAAAATAAGTTATTAAATCACAATTTTACATAGTTTTTTTAGAAATTGATCAGTGTACGAATACTTTCTACATCCACTGTAGGAAATAACACATATTCTATCCTATACAGAGCAACGACGTTCCTTAAATTAAATTAAGTTACTCTATTACTAAACTAATGTATTACGTACCACATATATAAGTATGAATGCTTTGAACTAGCTACAAATTAAGGAAAATACTCCTATTTGTTTATATGACTTGATGTAAATTAATTTTGTACAACTTTGTTATACTACGAGCAGCTAAGTCTGCTCGCACCTTAAGTGAGTGAGTGAGTGAGTGAGTGAGTTAAACAATAGTTAGTTACGCAATAGTTTTATAGTTCCTGATAGTTTTCAAAAATAGTTCCGCCGAAATACGGAAGAAATAGCATTTGAAAACATGAGGTGCTAACTTCGCATGACCTGAAATTTCAAATGGCCACAGTTTTTTATATTTTTCACTTTACGGCTAAATGCCATAAGAACTTTCGATAGAACTCGTTGGGGTGCCAATGGAACTGATGCTGAAAATTTGATTTTTTTGAAAATGAGGTGCTAACTTCACAGTGGCAGTCAGTTAAGTGTTAAATTGAAAGTTAATGAATTCAAATTTAAATTTACACTGAATAAATATAACCAAAAACAGTATGGAAAACATTTATAAACACATAAGTTATAGTAGAATTCATAGTTGTCCCCTTTTCTCTAAAAATGTACTGACAGTCAGTTAAGTGTTAAATTGAAAGTTAATGAATTCAAATTGAAATTTACACTGAATAAATATAACCGAAAACAATATGGAAAACATTGATAATTGTGCCTCGAGTACCAAATCAAAATTACTGGCAAACGCACAATGCGTCCACGGTCCACACCGATAACTTTCCCTCAAAGGATTAATCGAGCGACTCTATCGCCGATTGACCAACGAGATAGAGTTTTGGGTGTCTGTATCCAAGTTCCACGACTGCCAGGTATGAAGAATCGAGCGTGGCGGCTCGTGATTGATTGCCGCGTGTCGCATGACCAACAAGGGTGCGCGTACAAACGGGAGAATAAATGGCGAGGGGAAGATAGGGTCGCTTACCATGGGGTCGTGGGGTAGGTGCATGGGGTAGGCTGGCTGGGCCAGGTGAGGAGGTGCGTATCCACTGTACGGGGGCTGAACGCCGCCACCGCCACCCGTCCATGGGTCACCAGGACCCGTTCCTGCAGCATTTCCATCTGGAACACAAAAGAAAGATTTTATTAATTGCAAGGCCTTCTTTTGTAAAGTTATTTATTAAAACCATTTTGTTTTTTTCTTTTTAATTTATTTATTTAATGTCGCATCAGCTTTTTAGCCATTAGCGACCACATTGCGATACATTGTTATATTTTGTGTCTTATTACATTGTATTTCACATACATCACTTGGTTTTCTTCTGTCTAACAATTTTGAATTATCTAAGACTAATTACATACTAAATTTCTTTAATTATTTTGATTTTCTCAAGATAAGTTATTATTCCTTTTACATGGTTTCTTTCATTTAAACATTGTTTAATATATACAAGAAGTTTTACTTGGGTTCAATTGGGTCAATAGTTTTAACACTTTCGCTGCGAATGGCGCACATGCGCGTCCTTTGCTTTTTTTAGTCGGTTTAGTCGTATTTAGACAATCAGTACGATCTATGCATTCATGTTGGTCCGTTCGTTTGTGTTTAGTGTTGTGGTTAGACTTTTGGAAAAAGTCCATAAAAATTACCATAAAAAATAATAATTTTCGAAAATATATGGTTGTTTTTATTATTTTTCAGTTTTCATTTTTTTTGTTCGGCAATCATATCATATATAAAATAAGTTACCACAAATATATGTTTTTCAAAATAATCATATTAGATCGTTTGTAAGAAATTTTTCATTAAAAAAAATATAATTGCAGCTCCAAGCGAACGGCTACTTATTTTCGTCCGCAGCGAAAGTGTTAAAATTTAAACTTTAAATGTTGTCAACATATATAATTTAGTATGTTGTACGACGCGCCAGACGTTAGAGTAAGTATTCTCCAAAAATGCCCGACGATAAAGTGTTAATAGATCCCTGTAGATAGACATTGGAATTACAAAATCTTATAAATAGATTCCTAATAAATAAAGTGTTAACAAAATCAAGATTCAATAGATCCCATAATTCAAGCCAACGCTAACCTAGAATAGCCTGAGGGATCTAGAACATAGAACACAGGAATCCATACTGGGTCTAATAGATTCTAACTCGAACTAACTCTACTTTGCAGTCTACTAAAGTTGTTCAAAATTAGAACTTGACGATAGTTGTGCTTTTAACACGTGACTGCCAGAATAATAATCGTGAAATTGTCTACGAGGCTAAAATTTTGTTTCTATATAATTAGAAATTATATAACCGAATATTTGTGGTAGTATTTATTTTTGCAATCTCTTTACGATTTACCTGTCCTAGCTAGATTTTGTTTATTTGACATCTCACCTTCAAAATAAATCTATTTAGTTCCCCGGTGAAAATTCTTGTCGCCCATATGTGGGTGACGTGACGTTCGATGTGTTAAATTGACGCTTGGCACTCAAGGCCTTATTTTCTGGTATCTATCAGCAACTCGAGATGCTTTCTTAGCATTCTATTGTCATGAATGCTAAGCTTAGATTGACTTCGAAAATGAGATCTCTAATTTGAGATTTGAAAATCGGGTCACCTTTGCCTCAACGACAATTATTTTATTAATACTTCGAGTTCCAAAGAAATTAAACCTAAAAAGAACCTAGTGGTGACTGAGAGTCACCTCTCGAATGCAAATGGTTAAGATGTCATTCATCTGTGATACTGTAAATAATTTGATCGTGATTTTCATTGTCATTTTCTGAGAGTATCTGTACATGAAAGTGCACTTCCAAATTTCGAGAAAGAATTTTAGGTGTTTTGGTTTGTACAACCCCTTCTGTGTGGTCGTCCGTAGTATACAAAGCCTCTGACCACCGGATTTCTTGCTTATACCTGATTCTATTGTTCGCGCTGTCCCGTTATGAAAACCATAGAGCCTGGACTATTGAGACTAGAGCCTGGAGGGAACAGTGTGCTTTCGTATTTCGGGGTAGTTGCATCGAGAAAAATGGATAAAAAGTTGCATTAAAACGAATTTCAAACGTTCTAACAAATTTCTAAGGCGAAGATTCCATTTTGAACAATTGGTATACCGATAGAGAAGAATATATGTTTCCAACTACCTCGACAGAAAAATTAAAAAAGAATATCAACGATACTTTCGACGTTCGAGTCGATCTGAGCAGAAACTACTTTCTTATTTTATTTGATTTAGTGTTTTTCCGCCTTGGAAGAAATTCGGAAGTGAACAAACGTGACGGTGTTGTGGAATTTACAAAAAAAAAAAAAAAAAGTTTGAAATTATAGTGTTCTGGTACAAATATGTACATACCAGTGCATGTGAAGTTTGCATTCCACTTAAATAAATTTATGTTAATGAAGTAAATATAATGTATATTTGTATTGTGTTTTATATATGTGTGTATACTGTTATACTACATGTACATAGGTATAATAAGATTGAAAAAAAGATGATTTAAAAGATTTAGAGGAGAATGAAATGTTAAAATGTATGAAATGGCCACCTAAAAGTCCCGAATTAAATAGTATTAAGCATGTCTGGGATTATCTAGACAGAACACGAAAAACTAGAGCCAAGATATACAGATGAATTCCGTGAGGCATTACGAACCGAATGGCAAAACATTTCGAGTGAAATATGATAATTGACAAATTATACGGAAGTTCTATGAGAAGAGTCGACGCTATCACGAATGTAAAAGGAGTGCTAAATATTAAATTCTCCTTAGAATTTATACTATCTTCATTTAATTTCCGAGAGTACTCTGTACAATAGTATCGATAAAATAAAATATATAAGCTAAATCAAAACTTGTACTCTTTCTTTAGTGATAATAATGAAAAAGATGTAATGCACCATAAGTGCCCTAAGACTTTTGCACAGTACTGTATTTACAATGAAAGATTAATTCAAAAACATCAAACCTATCATTTAATTCAGACACATTTCTTTAATGTAGAATGTACGAATATTTATGGAACAGAATGTACGTCAAAAAGCTAGAAAAATTAAACTTTTAAAGATAAAATCCATAATAAGAAAGGGTATGGAATGATAAATATTTATGTAAAGAAAGGAGACTTTCTTTAATTTGAATTGTGCGCGCCAATTACTTAGGACTCTTGAAGTAGCGCCGCATAGACGAAAGAAGACACATGAAAAAGATTAATATTAAAACGGTTAATAACGAGAATGGACTTATATTGTCGTTCCTTTATTTTCAGGTAATATTATACTGTAGTTATTGTAAATAGTGTATATAATGTATGTTATCAATGTAATAATAAACTTTATTTTCAGAGTATCACAAGCTGTCTATTCTTTTATATTAATTTCAAAGATATAGATAATAACCTTATATTTATAATACCGTTTGGTTATAAATTACATATATACTAAAAAAAAAAATATAAAAGATCAGACCGCCACGGTGACGATACCGACTTTGAAGACAGATGTTAAATGCCGCTACCCGGCGGCATCGGTCGCAAAGGGTTAACCTCTCTTTAAGCAAAAAGCAGGACTACTACTCTAAGAGAAGGTAAGCTTGCGGTCCAGAGGCGCAAACGGGCCGTTTGCATCAGCAGAGTTTCGACACCAGTCGACGGTAGAGCAACAAATAGTAGCACGTGGCGTTCAGTGACCGGAGAATGCCGCGCACGTGTTCGAACAATGCTCTCCGCCTAAACGAATTAAAAGACATATTCCCACCGAACTTCCCTCAAATTGCCCGCCATTCGATATTATCGTTTCGTTGCTCGAGCAACGACGCGACGCACAGTGCGGACAAATAGCAGAATTGTGGACAAAAACCAAAATTTCATTACTAATATAAATATATTGCTATTTATTCACAAAAAAAAATTAAAATTAACCGTAAACATTAATAAAATCACAACAAAATTAACAAATGTAACAAAAAATTAACAAACCCCGATTTTGATGAAACTTTGTATACTTGTTTGTGGGACCTTCTTATGAATTACACCATCCTCAGTACGTGCGAATTTTGCGTTTTGAGGGAGAAATTAACCCTTTTATCCGAGCCGCCCCTTTTACTTTTCCTTGGAAACGATTAGAGATTTCAAAAAAATGTTCAAGCAAACATTACACTGTTTCTAGAGGGCTATAACCTGATACCAACAAATTTAAAAAAAAAATTTTTTTTTTAATTATCCCCCCCCCCTCGAAATTTGCGAAAATTTTGATTTATTTCTGGATCAGTAAAAGCGTGTTTTTATTCTGAATCCAACGGTATGTATGAGTTTATGATTATCATACAGGAAAATTATGTAATATTGTAAAATTGTCGCTTTAGTAGACTATATTTCGAATTCTTTAGGAATTTTTGTCTCATAAATAATAGAAGTTGCACCCATATGTTATTTAACACACTATGCTTCCTTTTGGCTGAGGATGTGAAAAATAATTTTTATAGAAATCCATAAATCAATTAAATCAGAATTTTTAACTTCCAATTGCGACCATACACCAACAGTACGGTCCCTTATTAAAAATTATATAAAACCGAACGTTGATAGTATTTGCAAAAAAACTTATACGTTTCTTAAAATACAACAAATATCGAATCCAAATATGTTGAGAACTCAGGATATCTTTTGCCGTTTTGTCTGTATGTTTGTTTAAAGATAAAGATTGTATTATGGATACAAATGATTGATACATGATTATTTATAACAATTTCCACGCTGACACACATTTTCTACGATAGAAATCTGCCTCACATTGTGATATATACTAATATTGAATTTTGTCCACTTATTCCGCACTGTGCGACGGAGAAAAGAGATCGCGATGGAAAAGAAACGTTTCTTCACAGGCGTATTCTAGTCAAGAATTTCTGGAAAAATCTACTTTTTTGCATTTTCTTAAAATGTGGCTGTCCATTACAATCAATACACTTACGTAATCGAATTATCAGTAAGTGGAGAACATTTTCCAGTGTTTCTGTGATTATTACAGCACGTGCACTAATAATACGTTCTCGCATATATTTTGCTGTCGTTGGTGGCTGATTTCGATCAGGATACTTAGCTTGATACAAGATCTTAGCTCTTATA